GGACTCAGAACAATGCTACTTACTTGGATTTCAACTTCACGACGAAGGATATCCAATTTCAGGCTCAACTTCACGACGAATGGGCCACCCGCGGTTTCAACTTCACGACGAAGGGAATCGTGCACACAAGCATCATCCATCTTTAGATTGGATTTTAACTTCACAATGAAGGATATCCAACTCAAAGAAGGAGTATCTGTCAACAAAGACCTTCGAGTTCGACTATGCTCAGCTCCAAGGCACATCATTTACAGCATAACTCAAGGCTAAAAGGGTTATTTGCCATCAAAATTGTCGAGTTCGATTCCATTCAACTCGATGACACATCAATCGCACTACTTTCCGGTTGCAGTCGAGGTTTTCAAGTCGAGAAGAGAACCTGGGTTAACCGTGCTTTAGTGACAATCAACCATTTTCAAGCAAAAGCTATATGTCAATGAAGATTTCTAAGTTCGATTCCGATCCAAGGTCTTTAAACCGAGAAGAAGACCGAAGGGCAACGAGAAGCCACGTGCTGATTCAAATTCCGAACTACGGCTTCAATTTCATATCATTTCAAGATGAACTCGGCTTCACGACGGAGGAGTCATCCGTAACTCAATTCGACAGGGAGTTATTGAAACATCAGAGTCAATTTTCAACTCCACCGAACGAAAAGTGTGTCTTTTAATCTTTGCCCTATCCTCATTACACGACTATGGGCAAAGAGGGGCAGCTGTCAACACACCTTTTCGTCCTACTAGGATTCAAACTCCTAAAAATATGATATAATTTTGCTAGGATTTAAACTCCTAAAAATAGGATAGAGTTCTACTATGATTTAAACTCCTAAAGATATGATCCACAAGCACTATAAATAGCTATTGTAACTCACTATTGTAAGACACGATTTACAGACAAAATATAGAGGAAAACACGAAAAATACAAAGGCAAAGATATTGTAAACGATTCGAAAAGAAAATAAAAGGTAGCATTTTTTTGATTCGTTCATTTCTCGCATGTGCACGTTATTTTTCTTGAGTTTTGGTTCGAATAACCCAAAACATGGGTTGCGCCGATGACAAAAAATAGGTGGAGTTTCGAAGTTTCGAAGTTTCGAACCTAGATCTACCCCGAGGCGTGTTCATTTTTTATCCCCCTAATGCGCAATATCAACGTTAATTGTCTTTTAAATTTGGCCTCAATCTTTATTTTTCTTTATATTAGTCCTTTTATTTATTGTATGTATATTTTTATTTATTTATTATTTACATTATTGTCATTATATAAATATATATACGTATGTTTTTTAATGATTTTCAATTGATTTTTTTACACTATATATTATTATTATATATACATATATTTTTATTTATTTATATTCATTTGGTTATTTTTTAATATTATTATTATTATTATTATATATATACTTTTTTTAAATATTTTATTTATAAGCGTATTATTACCATATATATATATATATATTGTAATTATCTTTATTTAGTTTTTTTTACTTTATCATGATACGTATATATGTATGTTTTAATAGTTTATTTATAAGCCAATTATCATTATATGTATACTTTTATATTTGATTTATATATTTATTTATTTTTGTTTTTGATTTTTTTATTTATTTATATTATATTATATTTTCATATTACTATCATTATTGTTATGATTATTATTTTTCTATTTTACTCATTTATATATATATATATATATATTTCATTTATTTATTTATTTTTCTTTTTATTTTTTATTTTTTTACTTATTTTTTTTCTTCCTTTTTTTTCATTTATATATTTTTTTCCCTCTAAAACATCTTATGACTTTTTAAGGGTATTTTTGTCAATTAATCAGAGGTAAGTAATTCATGATCAAATTTTACCTTTTAGTTTAAAATTACAATTTTCTTAATTAAGACAACTGGAAATTACGTAGTACCGAAAGAGCGGTTCAATGGTGCTAATCCTTCCTTGACCGTAACTGACTCTCGAGCCCGACATATTTCTGATAAGACGCAGATCAGGTAAGAAATAGTGTATCCGATCAACCCATTTATTTTTAAATAAATGATCGGTGGCAACTTCAATCTATATTTTTCAAGTCGAAGTCCAATTCCGGGGCCCAACCGAAAGATGGTTGCGACATCTAATTTCCTGGCCTTTGGATGAATGCTGAATTTCTTCTTCCTTACAGTGGTTACCAGGTAACCGAAGCTCTACGACTGCAGATGGAAGTGCAACGAAGACATGAACAGTTGGAAGTTGGTTATAGTTGCCTTGACTTTTTTGGTTTTCTTCAGTTCTTGTACAGTTAATTATTGATCGGTAAATGCTACTTCGATAAAGTGAACTTTTCAAACGCAAATTGCCGAAATATAAAATTTCAGTGACCTCATAGGGGTGTCATTTTTAGGCATACTAATGGTTTGACTTAGCAGGTACAGCGTCGGCTTCAACTTCGGATTGAAGCGCAAAGCAAATACCTACAGTCGATACTCGAGAAAGCCTGTAAAGCTTTGAATGACCAAGTCGCTGCTTCCGCTGGGCTGGAAGCAGCGAGAGAAGAGCTATGGAACTGGCTATAAAGGTTTCCAATGATTGTCAGGGGATGATCCTTCACTGTAACATAAAACTGCCTGCCTTGTCTGAACTTGCAGTAGCTCTAGAGAACAATGTTACTTCCAATATGCCATGCCGGATCAGTGATTGCTCAGTCGAAAGCTGCCCGACTTCAAGCGGAAGCCCGGTTTCTCCTATGGGGATCCCAGGTCGGTATTATGAAGAAGAGGGCGAGACCCGTGTTTGGTAACGGAGACCCATTGCCGTTGGATGACAGTATAAGGTAAGAAATAGAATGGGGGATGCCTAATATTAGTTGAGTTTCAGGACATTTCCACCATAGAAATGGTACCTTGTCTCTTTTTATTATTATTATTTCTTTCTTTTTGTTCTGTTAATCTAAATGCTTTTCGCTTTTGCATGTATCAACTCTGTATATGATTAAAGCGGATCCTCTCAAAATTCAATATCGAATTAAAATTCATAATTGTGAGAATATATGTATGATAGTATAATATTATGGTACCTTCCACGGGATGCATGTCTCTTTTTATATGCTTTTCGTAGTAATCGATCTGTTAATCTATTTTTTCTTATCAATTCTTTATTATACATCCATCGATGCTTTAAGAAATAATTTGTAAAAGAAATAACATTATAAATATATTATGTAGTTCCATCGATATCGAATCCAAACCAAGAGAATGAGACAGCCTGAAAGGAAATATAAAATCGAGCAATGAACTATAAAGTTCATTGTGATCTCCAAATACAAAAAATAACTAGAGAATATACATATTAAATGATTAATCAAATTGGGTTTAGTGCAGTGTGGTTTAAAATCTCATATACATTACTTGATTCAAATAACACATTTTCTATAATCGATTGGATATCTTCATTAAATAAAAATAATTACAAAAGTTGGTAACGAAAAATTACATATTAGAATAAAAAAACAGATTAAATTTTCAGAATCAATGTCAATAGATCCAATCAAGGTCAATGATCAACATCAATAGTCAATAGTTCGTGTTATAAGTCGGATCAAATATGAAACGATTCAAAAGATAATGTCAACATGTACGATTGACTAGTTAGGTCAAATAGGTCCAGTCAAATGTATCAATTAAATGGGTCAATCGAGTTGAGGTTGAAGGTGTTGGGCCAAGGCAATGGTAATTGGGGATGAGCTCGGGGTGGGATGACAGTGCCGTTTCAGACATTTTCGATATTTTGAGTGAAAATTTAAAAAAATATTTTTATAAAATAAAATTATATTTCATTATTTTGAATAATTGAATTAATATCACATAAATAAATTGTAGAAAAATGATTAAATTTTGTGAAAATATATTATTTTTATTATTTTATTAAGAAAACATCTTAAATACAACTAAAAGGGAATAAATATAAAAAAATTGAATGTTGTGTGATACCTAGCTTGATTTTGAATAATAAATAAATAAATAAAACTGCATATTATTTTATTGTTAGATTGAGATTGTAGAAGACTAAAAAAATAAATAATATTAGATAAATTGAAGAGTAAGATTTGAAACAAAGAGAGAAAATGATTAGATTTAATTCAAAATTGAATGAATAAATAAGAGAGATGGAAAAAGAGGATAAAAAACTAAACATTTTATGAAATTATAAAAATTAGGATTCTTAATTATAAATATAAAAAATTGGTTAAAATTTAATTCAAAATTAAATGAATTAATAAGAGAATTAGAAAAAGATGGTAAAAACTAAAAAATTTATCAAATTATAAAAATTAAGAACTCTAATTATAAAAATAAAAAATTGGAGACCCTAATTATAAAAAATTAAAAATTGGGGGATCCCCCATAGAGCCGGCCCCGTGGGATGAGCCTGAGAAGAAAATGGAGGAAAAGAGTCATTAGAGGTCTAAAAGTCTGATATATCACTAACATTTAGGGAACATTACAGGGAGTACCCCTACACTTTCATAGATTTAAAAAATGGGGCACCCGAGTTCAGATCGTTCTCAAAAGGTCCTAATTTCCCAAACTCCTTTAATGTGACCACTTTGTTCAATTTAATCCTTTATAATTTAGTCCTTAAATGGGATACAGTTCAACGAGTTTATTGTGCTTCTATGTCCTAATCAAACCTTCCACCTCTCCTGATACAGTGATCTTATTTTTGTTTCTTTTCCATATCTAAGAACATATAGCATGTCGAGTCAGAAAGCACTAATAAGTCTTTAATGGTGTGAATTGGGACATTGAAGATGGATTAACCGCAGCTCGAGTCCACTTTCGATACTATCGTCAAAGCGTTCTTGTTTCTCCATAAGAATGGAGATGGAAACATGAATATGTCCATCTGATTCATTTTGTAGTTACCATGCACGACGAATTCATTGCAGAGAACATGGCAAGAAATGGTCCGAGTTTCGGCAGATCGAACTCGAAATCAAATCGAACATAAAATCTTTCTAACCACTGCCATACATATAAAACATTAGCATCTCAATTTTTAAGTAGATACATCCAAAAGCATAGACGCTACACTTTTACTAGTATACATTAATGAAAACAAAGACTTGCTAACTAGAAACTTGCCTGTCCTGTATGGTACGAGTGAGTTTCAATGTAATCCCAAAGCATGGATTCTCCTAACCAATGACAGAGAACAAGCATATCTCTGTTTCCATTCCTCCCTACCCTCCTTCCGTTGCCCTTCTACCATCAGGCTTTTGTCATTTCCATCCAGTATGCTCACAATCTCCCTCATGCTTGGCCTTAATTTCGGGTCGGATCGTGTGCAGGTAACTCCTAGTTTCGTCAGTCTCACAAGTTCTTCGGTATTGTATTCCCCATTCAGCCTGATGTCGACCAATTCCTTGAGCGGCCTTTTTCGTGTCTCGAATTCGTGTACCCGTTTCACCAACAATACCTCAGGCCGCCTAAAGTCGGCTGCCATACGTCCACTGATCACCTCAAGCACCAGCACTCCAAAGCCATAGACATCAGCCATTGGGGTTGCTTCTCCGGATTCCATGTATTCTGGTGACATGTAACCGAAAATTCCACGAACCGATTTGTTTTTGTTGGTGGATGCGTGATGGCCATGGTCATTTCTAGTCAAGAACTCGGCGAGAGCAAAACTAGTAAGCCGCGGATTCATGTCAGGATCAAGAATGATGGCTGAAGAGGTAATGTTTCTATGAATGACTTGTTCATCCCATTCCTCGTGGAGATAATGAAGGGCCGAAGCAAGGGATCTGACAATGTTGTATCGGTGTTGCCATTGCAAAACAGAGCTGCCCTTTATATTGTCGAAAAGGAAGTGACTCAACAATCGATTCGCCGAGTAATCATATACGACGAGCATCTCTCCTTGTTCAGTGCACCATCCACGGAGCTGAACCAGATTACGGTGGCGGAGCCTTGCCAAGTTTTGGAGTTCACTCGAAAACCTTGTCCGCAATGCAGGGCATTTAGTCCAGCCAAGCCTCTTCACAAGAATGTGCTGACGGTTGTCAAGGAAACCTTGGTAAGCAGTTCCAAAGTCGAGCTCCGCCACCCTCCGTGATTCAGCGAAATTATCGGTGGCGGCAACGAGTTCCTTGAAAGGTATTTCCCTAGGTGTTTCGATCATAAAGAAGTTTGTCGGTCGGCTACTGCCGTTGCCGGATAAACTGGAACCATTGATTCCGAATTCAGCAGTTTCATACATGGTTTCTTCAGTGGCAGTCACATAGTTGGATGAAGCAAAGGAGACGATAATGTCGATGCTGGCAGCGGTGGCGGTGGTGGTCGGGGTGGATGAGCGGCTACTGGGGTGCTCTTGCTTCCACTATTGTTGGATGAAGATGACAGTGTGATGTATAAAGGATGGGATTCAAATGATGGCAAAGCAGGAAGCTTCCCTGAAATATTACCGGAAAGAACTTCAACAACCCATTTCATATTAGGCCTCAAAAATGGATTATGAAGCGTGCAAAGCAGCCCTATATGAATGAACCGTTCAACATCATCTAGCCTGTAGGAACCATCTACAAGACGACTATCCCCTGCATGTAAAAGCCTCTGTTCATCGGACAACCTACGGATCCAATCCAGCAAAATGATTTGGTCGTCGGGGAATGTAAGGTCCACCGCTCGCCGCCCCGAAACCACCTCCAAAATGACAATCCCAAAGCTGAAAACATCGGATTTTGCCGTCGCCACGCTTCGTTTCTGGAAACTCTCTGGTGGAGGTACCCGATTGTCCCGCCTATCCTCGTCGTGTCAGCCAGACGAAATTGGTGTCTCTTCGTCGCCGGTGTCTTGATTTGGTACTCGAGCTCGTGTTCCAGCCACCGTGCCAATCCGAAGTCGCCGAGCCGGGCATTGTATTGCGAGTCCAGCATCACGTTGCTCGTTTTTACGTCGCGGTGTATGATTTGAGTCTCAAGTTGTTCGTGGAGATAAAACAAAGCAGCCGCCAAGCCGCCAACGATTTTCCTCCGGCGGTCCCAGCTTAAACCCGGTTTCCCCATGTTTTCCGGCCTTCTAAAGAGTACTCTATCGAGGCTTCGGTTCGGCATATAATCATACACCAAGAGCAACTGGTCTTCATGAACGCACCAACCCCTCAACCGAACAAGATTCCGATGACGGAGATGAGCCACCGCCACCAACTCCGCCGCAAAAGTCTTCTCAAACCTCTCCCCTTTCTCCGCCAAGCATTTCACGGCAACCACCGTTCCGTCACTGGGTAAAACCGCTCTATAAACTCTCCCGAAGCCCCCACTTCCAAGAATCTCATCTTGATGAAACCCATTAGAGCCTATGTAAAGCTCGGCATAGCTAAAAATCCTGGGATTCTCCCCGCCGACTTTCTCCGACATCTGAACTCCTTCGAGGTCATGGAAAACGCTGGACTGGCGTCTCCTGGGCTTACCATGATGACAAAAATAAACCCATCGGCGCAAAGCATCCCCAACGAAACCAAGAACCTGACTCCCACAATCACGGTGCGGGTGTTTGTTGGGTTCTTTTTGAACAGGTTCTCCAGCTTTGGGGTAGTCCAGAGGGGCGATTTCATTGAAATCAGCTGGTAAAATGAAGCAAAGTCGATTTACCTTCATGGCGAGGAAGATGAAAAGTAGCTGAACATGAAATGAAGGGGATGAGATTAAAATGAAGGAAAATTAATCTGTGGGTTATTTAATATAGATGTTGTGAAAGGATGAGTGGATTTATTCAACGTTGTTAGGTTTGCATGGTTGAATTGGATTGCTATCAAACTCGGAAGCTCCTTTGGTGATGAAACCAAGTAAAGGAATAATCTTATTTTCTCGAAATCAGATTAGTAATAAATTAATAATCTCTGCTTTCTTTCTAGAACCACAATAACAATCAAACTCATCGAATTCTCCGACATGGTTTCACACTGAACCACCTTTGAACCGCGTGGAAAGTCCTTCAAAAATTCTTTTTATTATGGGTAAAATCCACAAACGATCCTCACTATATGTTGTTATTTTGTTAATTCCTTTGACTATTAAAGGTTACAAAATGGTCCCTCAACTATAGATTTTATTTTGTTGACTCCTTCAACTATTAAAAGTTACAAAATAATAGTCCAACTATTCAAATATTTTAAACTCGTCCTTTTTCGTTAAAAAAATTGATAATCTTTTGAGTTAGATATTAGCATGTTGATTGAGATATGATAAAAAATTATAATATACAATTTGTTAAAAATTTATAAGTTAATTTATCATCATAATAATATAAATATATTATGATATAAATTTTTTGTTGGTGTTCTTATTTTTAAAGGAAATAATGATGAATTTATAATTATATTTTAGGGTTAATTTCTCGAATGATCACTTTTGTTTGTGTTTTGTCAACTTTTGGTAATTGATTTCAAAAAACATAAGACATTATAACTTTATTTTTTATTTAATTAAGATATGGTTACTTTTGTTTTTATTTAATTAAGATGTGATCGTCACGAGTTAATTGTTGTTAACAATTAATAGAATATGTGACGTGATAGATGGTATAATCACACATTTTATCTCTGTTATTTACATATTCTCTCAATTTAGTCATATTTTTAAATAAATTTTAACATAAAATATATATTTTAAAATGAAAATAAAAATAAAAATAAAATATTTTAAAATTAAGTTAATATAAAAATATTTTTACGTTAATATATATAAAATATTATGAATTTATGTATTTATACATTAAGATACAAAATATTGTGCACCATGTTGTCTACTTCAAACCAAGCAGTGTTCTTGGCTTAATAGTTGGATACATGTTTAGTTTCCTAAGTGATAAAGGTTTGAATATTTTTTGCCCCAATTTACTTTCCTTTGTTTTCTTTCAACCAGAAGGTGACATATGTCGCTCTTTGATTGTGGAAATAAATATATTAAATTAAAATAAAGTTGGCCCTCCAATCGAATGTGACATGTGGCATGGTATGTGTCATCATTCGATTGGAGGATTAAATTTATTTTAATTTACTAAAAGTATGACTAAATTGAGATAATATGTAAATAACAAGAACCAATTGATCATATCTTACGTTTTTTTGAAATTAGTGGACAAAATACAAACATAAGCGATCATGCATGCAATTAACCCTATATTTTATTATTAAAGGAATTTGAAAGGTTTTAGACTAGGTTTGTGAAGTTCGGGATATTTTACGGTGAAACGAGCGTAATATTCGTGTTCATGAGGTAAAAAAGAGTGAACTAAAAATTTTTAGGTCTAACAATCATTAGTGATGACTATCTGTGGTGATTTATAAAGGTGATGAGTCATGGTCAGCGATTGAAATTTTAACTAGATTCATTGGTCAAATTGATATTTTATCTAAAGTTTAAGGGTTAAATTAATATTTTTATCTAAAGTTTAAGGTCAAATTAGTATTTTATCTAAAATTTAAGGGTCAAATTAAAATTTAAACACTTTTATTAACATACCACATCATCAAACTAACATGAGTTAACGACTCGGTAACCAATATAAAACGAATAAAAATAAAAGTAAAATAAGTTTTACAAAATCAACAATTATAATAAAATAGAACAAAAATAAAAGGACCACAACTGTAATTTACCCTTGTATTATTATTGGTTTTCCATTTTTAAATTCTGTACCAAGTTTCTACTTCTAGATATGTAAAATTCAGCTGTCCGATTACTTCGACTACGGGATTATAGAAAAGAAAAATGTAAATTTATAAAAGTATAAAAATTCATTAAAACTGTTATATATTTTATTAATTGATTCACTTAAATGAAAAATAGAATTCAAAAATAAAAAATGAAAAAAAAATTATTACCCTTTAAAGTTCAAAGACAAAAAGTGTCATCAAACTTCTCAAAAGAATTTTTAGAATTTGATTCATTGGTTATTATTAATATTTTATTTTGTTTCAAGTAAAATGGAAAAATCATTAAACATGGAGTAAAATTGTAAAATATCGCATCACCAGATACTAAGTTGATCTTAAAATACACAAGTTAGTACTAGATTACCATGCATATTGAAAAAGGATAAATTTTGTATTTAGTTACCTACCTATTCATGTAATTCTATTTTGGTCACTTTACCATTCTTTTCTTTTTTTAAAATCATATCTAACGTTACATTCTGGTTTAGACTTTTAGTTATCCGTTGTTAAAAAATAACATTGATGCTGACATATCTCCATAAGGTAATGTGTTGTCATAATTGGAAAAAAAAATTATCACAACAATGATTTTATTCAATTTTTTTAACCATATATGACCAAAATAAAATTAAAGCATAACGCTAGATATGATTTAAAAAGGATAGTCCAAAAACAGAACCATAAATATAGGTGAATGATACGTAGTTTAAAAGAAATCTTTTTTTTATTAATCTATGATGATTACAATGGGTAATATTTGTTCTAAATACTCTCAACCATCTAACAAAGAATGCTCAAATGTCCTAGATGGCTTAAGGTAATAGCTTTGTCCAAACATGGGAATGTAATTTTAAAATATGAAATTACAATCGATAATCATATATTATACCTTTCTTAGTTCTCATACAGCATTATTCCGTTTTTAACCCATTAATTTAAAAAAAAATATTCAAATTAAAATAATGGAAACCTTAAACTGCTCGAATTCAAAACAGTGAATATTACTGAACCTTTATGTGATTATCGACCAACAAATCTGAGATCTCACTTTCCGGGTGTATAACTGCCAAGCAACAAAGTAAGCATTGAATGTGAAAACACCTGGTTTAGTTGGGAAGGTGAATTATTGTACCCTTTAATAAATGAGAATCCTTTTAATTTCACCCATAGATCAATAATGAAAATTATGTCTTTTTCTATTTTAATCTTTCACAAATAACATCCCATTCTATATTTTACAATTTTTTCTATAATATTATTTTTCGAAATAAGTTTATTCTTAACACATCTTCTTGTACAATAGTTTCATTACATTTAAAATCTTAACTTTATCATGATCATTTTCTCTTTTATTTCGTATTCTTATAAAGATAATCAAAAATCTAAATCATTAATTGATGAAATAACAATTAAAATCAAATCATTTTACAATAAACTCTAAAATAAACCCTAACTCTTAACGATCTTGAAATCAACCAACACCAAAACTAGGGTCGGGACTAGGACGTTGGAGGCACTGTGCAAATTCTTAAAAATAGTGTGGTTGTTGGAAAATTGAGATTAACGGAATTAATTAATTAAAGGAAGGTAAGAAATTTATGACTATGATGGGAATGCAAATTAACGAGGGAAGATAAATAATTGAAGTTTGGTAAAGTGCATTAAAGAAGATGAGCTCCTTTTTCGTAAGGTGGAGTTAGACCCAAAAAATGAGATAAGCTTTACAGCTGTAGCACAGTACTAATTATTGGTATTTCCCATATGACTTCAGCAAGATTCGATCGCAGATTCTGTGGTTTTGAGCCCAAAATTTTTACCATTGATCCAAAATACTTTGTTTGTTTTTTTATTGTAACAATAGTAATAAATCTAATTTTTTGGACCCTTACTATTTTGGGGTCATGTTCCGTCACACACATTACGCTGTCCAAAGCACCGCCTCTGACCAAAACCCTAAACTCGTGACCTTAAAATAATCATGCAATTTTTCATAAAACGTGTTTGATGAAAAACGACTTTTAGAAGTTTACCATATAAGGCAAAGATCATATAACGTGTTTTCCATAAAACACGATTATTAGTAAACACTTGTTCTTTTAACAGTTCAAATATGTATCATTTTAAAAATTAATATACAAATGATATTACTTAAATAATTAGTTTTTCGATATATATAAATAAAATTCTCTTCTTCTCTCATACATTTTTCTATACACTTTTAACATTACATTGTTACTATTATCGAATTTTAAACCCTAATACTTTGTTACGTGTAAATTTTTGCTAATTTACTCGATAGTAAGCCGACATTTACATGGAAAAAAAGGAAAAAAAAAGAGTAAATTACAAATTTCTCTACTCAACTTTACTCTCTCTCCTATTTCATTCACCTTACTTTCAATTTTTTTAATTTACTTACTAAACTTTAGACATTGATTTTTTTTGTCACTCTACTGTTAACCTTCTAACGATCTTATGACATGGATTAAATAAATATTATTTTAATCATTAAAAACAGATAAAAAATAAAATAATTAAAAAATAAAATATCCTAAATAATATTATCCAACTTCAATTTCCCAAATAAAAAAAATTCCAATCCCACAACAAAATGTCACTGCCAACTCCGACGAGGGCTAACCACGTCAGTAATCGCCACTTATCGGTGACAATAATTTCCCCGACAGTAAACAATTTCCATGGTAACGATAACCATTAACCTTTAACCCCAAAACCCTTCTCCACTTCCTCAAAACCAAGCTCTACCACCACTCCACTTTCACCCATTACAATTTTCAAGTCTTCTCTTAGGCAAGACTCCCACTTCTCGTTGCTTTTGCCTTCGAAACCATGAAGGAAAAAAATTGATCGATAAGAAATTTAGTGTTGTTGTTTACAATGTTTTACAAGAGGATGGAAATTACAGTGAGGAGAGCTAGATTTGGGTTAGGGATGAGCTTGTGGAGGTTGGAATGGTGTTCAATTTTTTTTTTCTAATGATGTTGTCCTTCCATTTGTTTACAAAGGTTTCCCCATTTTTGAGGAAATTGAATGCCCTCCTTTTTTTTTAACAACGAAGGTTT